CCCATGGATCGATCGACTCCGGGCCCCGGGATCTTCCGCGGCCACCCGAAACCAACACGGAGAACACCCATCGCGCGCGCGACGCTAGCGGCATGACTGACACCCACAAGAAGACCAAGAAGAGGCGCCCTATCTTACTTGGTAAGCCTGCCAGGTAAGGCATCCACATACTAAAAAGCCACAACGTTACGACTAGCCAACGCATAACCCATCTACCTCCCTCCACACCCCTGCGCATCGCACCCGGGACGTTCGTGGCTGCCTATGCGCCTACTTTCCGCCGCCGTTCTTCTTCACCTTTTTCGCGGCTCGCTTGCCCTTCTCGGCCACCTTTTTCGGGTTTTTACGCTGCTCCTCAGCCTCCTCCTTTTTCCTCGCGCGGTACCTGGCGTTCCTTTCTGCGTTTTGCTTCCGCCGCGTGTCATCGGAGACCTTGGCATTTGCTGCTGCTGCCGCCCTCTGCTTTGCGCGTCGCTTCTGCTGCCGTTGCCTGGCAAGCTGTCGCGCCAGCTCTTCAGCACTGAGCACGCCCCCCGTCTGACTCTGGCAGAGACCAGCAACACCGGCAGCGCCCTCATCTTTCACCTGGGGCGCCTCGGTCGACTTTGTGGCAGCCGGCACGCTGCTCACGCTTGTGGCGTTTCCATGGGCCTGCTCTGCTTTGGCAGTCTTTAACAGCGAGCCCCGGCCGACGAAATGCGAAAACGGTCGCAACTCATTCACCTTCTTCCCAACCTTTGGCCTCACCTTTTCTGCTTTTTTTGTTAGAAAACGGCCGAGGGCTGTCGTCTCCTCTTGCCTGCTTACTTCGATACACCTCAGAGGCTATAGATCGAGAAACACAAAATAAAGAGACAACAACCCCCCACCCTTAGCTTCTTCTTTTGCTCGCTTCTCCACTTCCGAGATCGCTCAGCTGCCTTCGTCGTCGCGATCCTCCGAACACGACCCGCCCGAGCGAAAGACCGTAACCGGCGCGCCAGCTTTCTTTCGTGGATGGCGGCGCTCCGGCTATCGAGTTGGTTTACACGCAGCACAGAGCTCGCGCCCTTCTTTTCCGCTTTTTTTCTGCGGGTTTCCCGCTCGCGAGCTTGGTACTCTCGTTCCCGACGAGATGCCGCTACGCGGTCAGCCTCGCGCTTTTTTCTTTCAGACGGAAGCCACCTCTTGAAGATGAGCGGCGCCACCATGTTCGAGACACTTGCCGCAACAGTCGCGAGCGCTTCCGCTTGTGTGTGCGCTGCTGTAGGCCACCTCCTCAGAAGTGCCGCGCCCATCTTCATGAAGAGGAAGCAGCTGAGCTTAGTCTCCAACAGCGGCCGAGTCTGGCGGTAAACACTGGCGCCCAACGTGCCGACTTCGCGATGGAGCGCCTCGTTTCCAGCAGTGCCCGTTCCGTGTTCGTGTGCTTCAAAAGGCGACATCTCCGCGAGTCGGAGACTGTGGCTGCGTAAAAAGCTGTAATGGTCGCACTGTGCCGGCAGAAGGTCAGAGAGCTTCTTCCCGCTCCGTTTGTCTTTGCGGCTAAGTTTTTCGCCCTCCGCTATTGCGACGACCGAGACAGCGCCGAGCTTCTTCCCAAAGTTTCTCGCCGTGACCTCAGTAGACGAGTCCCGTAAGAGCTCGCGGGCATCTTCAGCTGACAGACTGACACCCTCCGCATATCCTGCGCGGCTTTGTTCGGCGTCAGCAGATCCAACACGTCGAAAGGTCTCACCCGCCAGGGGACTTCTTGGACAACCGAAAAACTGCATCGCAATCGCGTGAACCTTTTCGGATACCCTGTTCGGCTTTTCTCCGCTGACCTTTTCCAGGCGGATCTTCAGGTGTACTGGGTCTTCCGTTATTGTTCGCAAGTTGGGGAAGAGTTCACGCAAGGCCTCATAGCCAGAAAGCAAGACCTTCGGCGAGTCGCAGCAGATCGAGAGCACCCGCCCACGATGCTCGGCCGGGACAGACGACCGCAAGAAGCCCAGGATGTTTTCAAAGCTCTCACTTTTCGCGAGCTGGATGCCAAGTGCTGCGCCCAGGTTAGAGGATGAGGCATCGGCCTACCAAAATGCTAGAGCGCTCATCTGCTTCCCCCTTTTCATTCATATTTATCAACCATAGCGGCAAGCTGTAAGAATTAGCTAGCAGCTGCCTGCGATGGTGCGCCAATAATAGAAAGAAGAGCCACAACATGATGATGATGATGATGTAAACCCACCGATCGGGTGGGGCGGGATGCCATCTCATCCACGAAGCCCCCGGGAATGAAGAACCACAACACCCACGAAGCGGAATCCCTTTCGACTTCATCTACATGCATCACGGCGCTGACTAGGGGCATACTTACTACGAGCCTGCTAATTAATCAACTGGCACCACACAAGTGAGAGAAGCAGCGCCTACATGGTACTGACCTAGATCATCCCCATAACAGTGCGGCCCTTTAACGTGAGGCATTTGTTGCTGGTCGCCCCAGTCTTGCCGGCGGGAATGTCTCCGATAATCGATTGCGCTTGTTAGAGCTGCCGGGAGAAGTCTCGGCCACTTTGGAAGAATGGGGCCCCCTTAGTTGCCACCTCCTCAACATGTAAAGCAATAACTCTGGAGAATCCTGCGAATCACCAACGGGTTTAGTATAAGGAAACCACGACCAACGATCGCCCAACCTCCATCAGAACGGGCCTCAGGATAGTCCTCTGGCTAGGCATAAAGCACAGAGCACCGGGGCCGCTTTTATTTGCCAGCAGAGACCTAAGCTACTTACTACCGAGAATATTGCACCCACCCACACAGGGGGGGCCTGTCCTAAAAAAAACACGAAAGGCCATAAGTGACGTTGACCGTTCCATCGATGCCGATATCTCTGCACTCGTCGAAGATCTCGCACAAGTTCAACCGCATGGCCGCCAACATGTCAGCGATCGTCTTGCCCTGAAAGATGCGCTGCAAAATCTGGGACAACACTCGGCGACACGGGAAAAGACACACGAGGCCGCATTCTTCGGGTGGCCGCTTACTCCTGAGCGCTTCGCTGGTCAACCTCACAAGGATAGAAGAAGGTCGGCCCTTGGTCTCGAGGGCGTGCGCCGTCACATCCTTCAAAAGCTGCTGCGTCACTGCAAGACGTGTCGAAAGCCTCTCCGACGCTAAGACATCAGGATGATCAGCCAACAAGAGGCGCCCGCCTGTTGTGTCGATCACAACACGAAAATCCTCACGACATCCTCCGAGCGAAGAGCCACGCGGACTCCCTTCCTGATGGTTTCGATTCCACAGCCGCACACGCTCCGCGGCGTCTCGCAAAGGTGTCGGCGGTTCTGTCTCCACATGGAGCGCCCTGATGCCGCTCGCGCTGGCTTGCGCCACAGCTTGCACGGACACGCCGGCACTACCTGGAGAGAAAGAAAGCCATCACTCGAGCAGAAGAAAGACAGGCGAAATAAGATAGACGGAAACACTTCACGCAATTCAATAGACTGGGCGACTGATGTGAAAGACTGCGGCTCAATACTTCCAAGAAAAAAAGAAAGAAGAGCGATAGCTGGAGGGACTGAATACCAGCCAGCGCACCCAAATCCCACGGCGGTGGAAATTTCTTCTGCGACGCTTTTGAGGTGTCATCATACAAGGCGCGCGCTATGGCCATGAATCCACGGAGAGGATGCTCCAGCGACTTCTTCTTCCGGTCGTTTTTTGCGACTAGATGCATCCGCTTCACATGACTCGCGAGCGAGATGGCATGCTTGAAGCTCTTGTAAGGGCAAAGAGCACAATGCCACACCTTCCCAGGGACACAATTCCCCTGCCGCCGAAGTGTCATCTGACGCTGTTGGTCCTCCCGGTATGCTTGCCAGCAGAAATCGCTGTAACGCTGTGCCTCTCCTGTAACTGCTTCACAGAACAACACATCAGCCCCGTCGCTTGTCGCTACACGCGTGAGAAACTGGCCAGCCTTAGCGGAAATATTTGCACCAAGACGAATCCCTACAAACTGCGCAGGACCCGCCGCGACAGTCAGCGCCGCGCCCTCTGGTGGCTGCAACAGCCCAACTTCTTCAGCAACCTCTGGCGGGCACAAGCTTGGGGGTGTGCTCACGCGCGACCCCTTTCGTTTGCGTTTCCCCGTCTTCTTCTTCTTCTTCTTCATCAGGCGGATTTTGTCCGTCTGTTCTTCTTCTGAAGACGCCTCGACGTCTTCCCCGCTTTCCGAGGCATCCCTCTTGCGCTGTGAGGGCCCGCCTTCTGTCTCTGCCACCTCCTTTTTGCAGTGCGGTTCTGCAAGCTCAACCAACGAAGAGCCTCCCGCCTCTGCTTCGTCGATGCTGTCTACCCTCTCACCGAAGACGAGGCTGATCTCGTTCCCGATCTTACGAAGAGCATCCACAAAAGAGCGAACTGCCGCCACTGAGTTGTCATTGCAGAAATACCAGACACCCTCGCGCCGCACTACTGCAACGTAATGCCCGCTCTCGACATAGCGGCCGACATGACGCACGAGGCCCGTCACCCTGAACGTCGCACCCCCTAAAGTGAAGAACTCACTTGGCACATTGATGGGCGTGACCATTTTCATCCCGTTCAGCGCCTGCCGCGGACGAATCTCGATAACGCACGCCTTTGTGCTTAGACCATCACCAGGAAGCGAGTGGCTATTCTTGAACTGTACGTGTCGACTGAACTGGCCGCAAGGCTGCGAACCTGGTGCGCCACTGTCTTCAGAACATGTCACATCTGGCGCCGTGTTGCCTTGTTTGTCCAAGAGCTTCTGGAGGGACAAGCCCCGCAGAGGAAGGCCCTCAGTCCCAGCCGTGACCATCGGATGAGGATCCGAACAAGTTCGACACACTCCACCACAACGCCGGCACGGGTTTACTCGTTCCGTTTCTGTCATCACCATGGTCACGGTGCCACCAAATTCGTCCAAAAGACGCCCGCAAAGCTCTCCCGATGAATGCTCGAACCTTTTCCCAAAATCAGCCTCATACCGTGGCCCCCAAGGAGCGTCACTGCTGAAAGATTAGGGCCAAGCCGATAGCACAAGCGAGAAGCAGACGAGACCCGTCAGAGAAAGGAAGAAACATAGAAAGGGGCTGGCGCCTAGGGTGTTGGCGCCAGTTCTAAGACCGAGCGCAGTCCAAAGGCTAAACCTAATTGCTCAACTTTATGAAGCCCGTCAGCGTAGCAAGTTCAATCATCCAGCCACGACGCTCTTCGTCTTCAATCACATCAATACCGAGGCCATGGCTATGGCGCTAATTCTACTAAAGTCATAGACTAGATCTCAAATAGTCGACACTGAAAAACGAGGGGAGCGCCAGGCAGTAACCAACAAGCCGGCGCGCGCACGCTCACGTCTTTCGTTTTCCCTTGAAATAACAACGACGACACCGGAGCCATAACTATCCGCAGGAAAGAGCTGCAAAGGCTCCAAACCGAGGCCACTCTGCCTCATTGTCCTCAACACATCCGCCAGCCAAGAGCGCGGGCAGCTCCTCAACGTTTCCGCAGCAATTAGAAAGGCCCACCCCTGAAAAAAAGACACAGACCACAGCGACGAGCCCCCAAAAGGCTAACCCCCAAGCAAGATGGAAACTACTGCAAAGATTTCAGAGCTAGGCCATCCTTACCCATAAGGCAAGAGGCTGACACGTCTGCCAGCACTGAAAGACAGCGTGCGCGAAGCATCTGGTCTGCGCAGTAAATGTCTTGCGCTTGTCGCCGTTCCTACTCTCACCACCGAAGACATAGACTGGATTCACGAGGCCACGCGGAACCACTACCGCCGCGGGGCTTAAGCCTTGCGCCATTGTCTCCTTTTTGCTTTTCTTCTTTTCTGTTTTGAAAGAGCGAGGCGGCGATCTCGAGGCAAATCGACCCCCTGACGTCTCGCCAAGCCACTAGCTTCGCGAGGCGAATCCGGTTGCTTCTCGCAAAGCCCCTAGGGTAGGTAGTAGGCAAGAGGCAAACTCGTCAGAGCCGGCTGTCGCAAGTCCACTAGTAGCCAAGAGGCAAACACATCGGAGCCAGCTGTCGCAACGCCACTAGTAAGGAAGAGGCAAACCCGTCGGAGCCGGCTGTCGCAAAGCCACTAGTAAGGAAGAGGCAAACCCGTCGGGCAGGCCAGCTGACGCGAAGCCGCTAGTAGCTAGGAGCCGTTGGCACGCAACACCTCAAAGACGCCGCTTCGCAAACCCGTCCGAAGCCGTTGCTTCGCAACACCTCAAAGCCGCTGCTTCGCAAAGCCGTCCGAGCGTTGCTCCGCAAAATCTCAAATGCGCCGCTTCGCAAAACCGTTCGAAGCCGTTGCTTCGCAACACCTCAAAGATGCCGCTTCGCAAAATCGTCCGAAGCCGATGCTTCGCAACGCCTCCAAGCTAAATCCGTTGTCGTCGTTGGAATGAATTGCGCTTATCTGTTAGCGGTTCTGCGGTTCTCCCTCAGATGCTGCTTGGGATGCTGAATTATCTGCCGCCGTGCTATCCCGTGGCCAGCTGCAAGACAAGACGTCACCCCAAGACGTAGCAGGGAGAATAGCAGCCGGCCTTAACGCTTGCCGCGCAACCGCCTGAAGCTGTTTGCTGTTTCGCAAAACATTTGAGAAGCCGCTTTTTCGCAAAGCCACAAAGCCGCTGCTTGCTTCGCAACACCTCCGAAAGGCCGTTACTCGCAAAACCACAAATCCGGCACTTGCTTCGCAAAACCTCAAGCCGCTGCTTATTTCGCAAAACCGTCCGAAGCCGTTGCTTCGCAAAACCGTTCGAAGCCGATGCTTCGCAAAACCGTTCGAAGCCGATGCTTCGCAAAACCGTCCGAAGCCGTTGCTTCGCAAAACCACAAAGCCGCTGCTTCTTCGCAA